AACAATTTTTCACACTACAACTTTAAAAAAATAACATGTTCTTTTTTATGTAAGGATTTTTCTGTTTAATCTTTATTCCTACTAATGCCACAAAAATTTTGATTAAATTTAAATTCTGAACAATTTTTTTTTATTTTTGCTTTCAATGTCAATTTTCCACTAATTTTTTTTTTTTTTTTTTTTACTTGAATAACTGCCAGATTCAAAACACCGTCCCAAAGTATGAAACCTGTCTGACTACAGAACCCTCTAGATTAATGAGATACAACCTGCATTTTCCTTAAAATGAGTAACTAATAATCTGTCCATTTTCTCAGCTTTCTTCATAAAGATCTGAAAGAACTATTCATCTCTGTCCATTTTCTGTTGACATTTGTTATATTTTTATCACAGTAGAAAAAAAAAAATCAGAAAAATATTAAAGTTGGTTCAACATTTTAAAAAAATAAATTCAAGTGCCTCTAATTTTTAAGGTTATTTTTTTTTGCTCTTATAATCATATTTTTATGTGGGGGTGGGGGTGGGGGGATAGGGGGTGGGTCCTTCTTTTTGGGTGGGACAACTGTATACATTCTTATTTCCAAATATAACAACCCATCCCCAATTTTGATTTGTACTGGACAAAACCAAGTTTAGCATCTATACCTATCTAAATATATACTCAAAGCTTTGGAGAGTTTTTCTGCATGTGACCTGATCAATCATGGCTCTCTACCCATAAAAAAATTATTCTTACATCTACTTTCCATGGGTAAAAAATAGGTGTTAGGAAACAGCTCATAAAGAGTTGTGGCAAAAGTTAGTACTACATTAGCATTAATTTTGTTCATGCGATTCAAATTCTACAGCTTTTTGGGCAGCACCTTGTGTGCATTTAAATATATTAAAGAAAAACCGTTGATGGATAACTTACCAAAACTTAAAACTCTTATCCAGATACAGTCTCAAATAAAAATGACAATACTGAAAAAAAGAAAAAAAATGGCCTAAAGGCAAACTTACTGACTCAGTAAAGTGCTTGAAGCCTAGATTGCCTAAACCGAGCAAAAAAAATGCTTAACAATATTAAATCCTATAAAAATGATAGCTCTAGTTGTAGCCCAAGTTTCACTCACACGATCTTCAGACAACTTGAATTTGGGTACCAAATTCTTTGATAATGTGTTAAGTTTTTACCTTCTTGGTATATATGATATTGCTCTCAATATATAAATATATTGAGCTCCCTTCATGGATCTGTTTTTTTTTAATATTTTATATTAAAAACACCTACTTGGATTATCCTTACCACTTACAGATTTGATATTATATATATTGTTGTAAACAAGGGAAGTTAATGAATAGAATAATCAAACGAAAGTTCGTGATGAATGATAATACTTAGTACAAGAACAACACCTATAAGATTCGCCAGTGGCATGTAGAAGTATTAGTTTACTGCTAGAAGTGAGTCAAGTGAATTCCACAATGAATCTCCAACTGCAGATCAGCATACAATATTTACTACTGTATTTATGTGTTTGGGGACATACCCATTATTGTCCATAGGTAAACTACAACACATATAATAGGATAAGGAACAAATAGGAAACATTGAAGAATTTAACATGTTTCATTTTTATTTTGGCTCACATCAGAAAATGAAATATGGAGTAGAAAAGAAAATTCTGTTTTTTCTTCTATTTTTGTGTTTATTTTTCATTGGTTAAGCAGACCGTGCGTGTATTTGTACTATCAAGCAACATCTGTATAATTCATATTTGTATCATAATTCTACTTTTTCTATGTGGGATTCAGATGATAATGTTCATTTTTTGTGAGCATTTGAACATGTAGTAGGCATTTTCATCTATGTTTGGTGGTTGTCCATATGTTGATTTTGGGAAGTTTTGTGTGAGAGTGAAAGAATTTAAGTTACACCTGTTGTGGTTGTAGGTAGAAATTTAACTTAAATTCTTTCACTCTCACACAAAATATTCCAAAATTAACAGCTGAACAACCACCAAACATGGATAAAAATGCCTACTAGATGCACACATGCATATTGGATTCTCATCCATATTTTTATCTAAATTCATATATATATATATATATATATATATATATATATAAATCTCAAAAAATAAAATTATATCTTTAACATTTATTTCTTGATGTATGATTGTGTTTTGCAAAAAAAAAAAAATTGGTCGACCAGGATCTTTCTGAAAGATAACCTTTTTAAGAGAAGCGGTCTTTCTAATTATAGTGCTCAGTATCAAGAGATCAAGCACATTAATAGTAATAAATGAAATTCATTTATTTTGTCCCAACAAAATTTTTCTTTGGGTTTTTATAATTGTCTTCACTTGTCAGTGGAGTTAACTGTAAAATTTACAATTACAAACAAGTCCCCTTGCAAGTGGATGTTGTTAAAGACAATTCATTTATTAGATCAAATCAGATCATATATATACGTCCTTATAATGACAAACTCTAACACCAGAATATTTATTGAATACATGTATTGTAGATCTAAGGAAGAATTTCAATATTCATTTGTTTATGAAGTCTCAAATGCCTCTTTAACCTGACTCTACTGAATTTGTGCAACGTCTGTGACAATACTGGAACTGAAAGTCTGTTTTTGCAATCACTGTATGGTTTGCTCTGCAATACTGTTTTTCTTGCAGTTCCAAGTCATTGACACCAGCCTCCTCAACATTTGTAGGAGTTAAATTCACTATTGTTCACTAGTGTCTGTGATTTCCAGTATCTCTCTCCAATTCATTTGGTTTGGTCTTTGAAGGTTGGTTTTCATTGAATTTTTGTAGATTTTTGTTCTATTATTATTATTTTTATTATTATTATTAATTTTTTTTTTTGTGTGTGTGTGTGTGTGTGTGTGTGTAGTATTTTAAAAAAAAAAATTTTGGACTATCTTTTATATATAAAATAGATGTTATTTTGTGCTGTGTCCCTTCAGGGGCTCAGTTGACTATCACATAGCAGTGTCTGTGATTTCCAGCATCACTCTCCAGTTCATTTGGTTTGATCTTAGATCAATGAAGGTTGGTTTTCATTGAATTTTTCTAGCCTTTCTTTTAACCATAGCCTTTTATGTGCCATGTCTTTTCAAGACGAGGGCAATCCACAATTTCTTATTTTTTTGTAGCTCTAAGTCATATTTGTCCTCTTACTATCTCCTCAGTCCCCATTCATTTACACTTTTACTTTTCTGTTTAATATTTTTGTTTTTTTTCTATTAAAACAATTTTTCAGGTAAATAGTTTTCTCAACTCTGTCATCATTCATTACAGTATTGATGGGGGTTTCCTACCTAACCTTTTGTTCAAAGTAGTGTGGAGCATCAACATCTTCGTTATGTTGTTATTCTCTCTTTGAGTTATGAGTGCTATCCATTTTAGTTGTTGCTGCTGTTGAAAGTCCTCAAGTGATGTAGTTTCTGTTATTTGGTACAGTTCTTTGTAATTCTGTAGAAACGGTCCACATGGTTTGAAGAAGGATGATCCTCACTAAAACCTACAGAGTTTATTCACTCAAAGCCATTTTTAATCATTGATCTTAGAAAGTGGTTGTATACAGCTGACAGTTATACATTTTTGAATGAGTTGGGCATCATACATGACATCCATATGAAAGTCTTGATCTGATGAGTCCATTTAAGAATATGGATTGAGTTCTTAGTTTAATGTTTTAGTTTTGGAGCAACTTGCAATCATGAACAAAAACAACCCTTAGTGAAGTGTGTTCTATGTTCAATTTGCTTATCTCCTATACTAAACTTGTTATAACTGATCCATACACCAAGGTACTTGAAGTGTTTCGTATTTATTTTATTCCATATCCTGAATTTCTAGGTTGGATTCAGTGTATGGTCAATCCCTGCTTTCATTCCAATTCCAAATTATTGTTTCCGTTTTGGGAACGTTTATCTTGAGTTCTACTTCTTGCAATACTTTGTAAAGAATGTTGATTTATTTTTTACAAGATCATTCTTAACACAATTATGAATACCTATGTTATCAGCATAGCCTCCTTATCATCAGTACACTTGCCTCAGGCATAAATTAATAAAATATACACTAATAAATTTAACTGCTGTTACTTGACTGGCATGTAAATTCTACTGTATTGTCTTATTATAACGGAACTGTTTGTTTATTGCATAAAATTAATCTAAAAATTTTTCAGTCCTGAAATTTTTCAAAAGGAAAAAAACGTTTTGGTAAAGAATCAGATTGTTATTATTTCTTTTTCTTTAAATTATATTTATATGAGTGGATGCAGGAAAGTTCTTGCACTGATCAATTTTCTCAAATTTCAGAAATTTTGGTGGTGGGATGGGCTTCTCTGTATTTTCAGCACCCTTTGTACATTATTTTCTCAATTTTTTTTTCAATTGCTTACAAAGGAAGCCTTATTTAAAACTCTGAGGCTAAATGCCAAAATTGTCATTGGGCTTCATGTTTTGCATCCCTTTGTACAAGACATCCCAAAAAGTTCTTGAAAGTTTATAAAAATCTAATAATACTTCCCATTTTAATTATTACTACCTCTATCCCATAATAATTGCTACATTTTGCTGTTTAAATGCTTATGTAAATATAACAACTTTTATGAGACAGGTAGTACTTACTTTTCTAAATGAAATTTGAAAGTGCACACTTAACAGTTCAATGGAATAACTAAGTTCAAAGAGAGTTTGTGTTTATTTCCTACTAATACATTGGGGAAAGGCATGAAACCACTTTTCCCAATAGCTCTAGTTAGGAATACAACCTGTCACAGGTTACTTGGAGAGGAGGTGGATGCCACCAAGGGATTCCCATTTTCCAAAGAAATGACAGAAAGATATCAGTATGATATCTCAATAATTTTTTTTCTTTTTTTTTTTTTTTAAATTTAACAAATGGATATAAATTTTAATTATGTCTGAAAATCTTGCCAAAATGAAAATAATGGTCACTCCTCACATAATGAGGCTTACAGGCACATCACACTGAAACACTGGTTCTTGTGCAATCACTGAAGTTAAGCAATGTAGAGCCTGGTCAGTACCTAAATGGGTGATTGTTTAGGAATACCAGGTGCTGTACGCTTAGCTGTGCATTTTGGTGTAATCATTAATAGCTCAGAATTGGAAATCAGAGAGCCGAGTTCAAATTCCAGTTGGGTTTGTTGCATTCACTTATGCGCAAATAATCTTGGGAAATGTATGAATCCATCTCTTCTCTTCCCAGCTATGGGTTAAATAGTAGAACTTGTATCAGTAAATCATTATCTTCAAAAAGTTCTTTGAATCTAAAAATATTTTCTGTCTTAAATAACTTGCAAAAAGTTGATAAGTCATAAAAAACAAATTAATTGATCAAAATCTGCACTTAATGGATTACTTTTTTAACAATCTCTAGATTTACGTCCACCTATAAAAAAAATAAGATTTGATGGGATTTACCCATTATTGAAGAGACACATTCAGTGAGAGATGGTATTGATAGTTGTTGTAACCTACTGAATAGAATAATCAAATGAAAGTTGGTAATGAATGATAATACTTAGGACATGAACAACACATATAAGATTTTCCAGTAGCACGTAGAAGTAGTCAACTGCTAAAAGTGATTCAAGTGAATTCCACAATGAATCTCCAATTGCAGACCAACATACAGTAATTACTACTGTATTTATGTGAATGGGGACATACCCATTATCGTCTGTAGGTATGTAACACCTTTTTAATGATCCCTAGATTTACATCCACCTATAAAAAATAATAAAATTAAGAATTTTAAAAATCCAACCTGTCAGCATTGTATGTTGCATGTTGTATAAAAACTTTGATCAGGGAAATTAAATAAAAAAATAAATAAAGTGAAAAATAAACAAACATTTACTTGTATGCAAGCCAAAGTAATGTACAGAATATTGAGTTGATTTTTTTAATTTGTTTATTATGTTTACTGTGTACTGTAATTTGTAAACACTTAGAAATAAATTTGAAATGTTACAAAGGTGACATTAAAGCTATCTGAAATTGGTTGACACAAACCCATTACAGGCATAGTATACTTGAAATAGCAATCAGGTACCACTTCTCACTTAGCAACCAGACTAACTCGTTGAAACCAATTGTTTAAAAAAACAAAAAACGAAAGAAAAAACAATTTATGACTTCAGGGACATCTTGTACTTAATATTTTTCTACTATTTTTAATAAAATTTATCAAATGGACATAAGTTTCAATTATGCCTTAAAATCTAACCAAAAAATAAATAGATTAATAAATAAATAAGCAAAAAAAAAAAAATATTAAGTCTTTTTATGAATTTAGGGTGGCCATCTTGTATCTGTACTATAATACCTTTGAAATTTACTTATTTGTAGATGTCATTACAACATTATTTGAAATTCAAGTCATATTTATCAACATTGTTTTATTTCAGATCTCATTGTCATTGGCTGTTTTGTAATTATCATAGTTAACCTTAAAATAATTATTACTGCTGCTTTTATTTGAATTATTATTAATATTCATATATTATTAATACTGCTATTACAGTTGTTATCAATGTTTTGTAATGTTTTGCTGCATTAAAATATTAAGAAACTTTCTACAACATTGTTTTTTCTCCTTTTTTCTTTCTTTTTTTTCTCTTTTTTTAATTGGTATCACCCCATGCAAGGCAGTTAATCCAGGAAGACACAAGCAAATTACAGGGTGTGGAAGAATTAGAAACAGAAACATTAATAATGAACGAAGAGGAAAGCGTGATCAGGAGGACACGAGATAGTGGTTGACATTGCTTTTAATCTTTTGCCAATAAAAGTTGGCTGGAAAAAAGAGAGTTCCACAAGCAAGAAGTGTTAGAAAAGAAACAGCACAGAATTTATGGTTACATCTAGACAGCACAACTGTGAATTGATGAGTCCTTGTCAACAGTCTAGTACTGCACTTAAATTCAAAGAATCTAGGCACCATAGCAAAGAGATCATCTGAACAACTACAATGAAAGTATTTATAGAAAAGACACAGAGAGGCAACCTTACAGTAGAGGGAAAGTGACTGAAGGTGAGCTGCCAGATCAGGACCGATAATATTGCTGATTCTTTTTTGGATCTTATCAAGGAGCTCAATGTAAATAGCAGACCAGATGTAGCAGCAATATTCTAAGCATGGATGAATGGTAGACTTATAGATATGTAAGATAGATTCTGGAGAGGAAAATTGTCTAGCATGATAGTAAACCAACTTTCTTAGCAGCTGACCTAGCAATGGATTCAATATAGTATTTCCACTTCATGTTTATCTTAATATCTAAAATTTTCAGTCCTGAGGGCCATATTTTCAGTATTTTTGCAGGCCAAAAAAATATCAGTTTTATTAATGAATGAATAAACTATAAATGATTGAATAAGTTTCATTTAGATTGTTTATTATTATTATGATTCAGAGGATGTATGGTGGTGTAATGGATAATGGCTCAGAATGAGAAATCAGAGGCTTGAGTTCAAATTACAGTTGATTTCATTATGTTCACTTACAAAAAAACCCATGGGAAAGGCATGAATCCATCTGTTCTCCCTCCAGCTATGGGTTAAATAGCAGAACAGACTGGGCCTTATAGCCTAGAGAAGGTTGAGCTCTTTCCAGCTATCTCACCCAAAACACTACAGCTGCAGTACATTTTAAGGGTTATGGGACTCATGATCATGAATAATTCAGAAAAAATGAGATGTGACAAAAAAAATAATTCTGTGCTCGGCACTACTTAAATATAGTGGTCCACTTATAAAAAATAGGGTAAATTTGGCAAAGGAATCATTTTTGTAGATTAGCATTCATTTAACTTTCCGCTATGTTAGAATCAAAAAAATATTGATTTCGTTTTGTTTAATCAATTTAGAAATAATCTTGATACAGTGTAAAATCAATCCCTAACTTTTTATAGAGTTATCTGGACTTTGCTGTTCTGCATATGAAAACAGACATTTTTTGTTTGTTTTTACAAAAACATTTCTTTTAAATAAAGAAACAGACATATACATTTTCAATTAAAGAACAAAAGTTTACATAAGTTAATAAAACTATGCATTTATTTATTCTTCATTTAATGTTAGTGCTTTTGCTTACAAAAAAAATCCCCACTAAAATTTTTTTAGAAAAATGTTTAAAAAAATTTAAAAATTCAGAAAATTAAAAAAATATGCCTATATTAATGATATAAGTGCATTTTCAAACTTGACATTTATAAATAACAGCTAAGTTTAGATAGCTCTGTGAAAAGTCAGGAATAATTGCATTATCAATATTATGAAGTTTACCTCCCAAAAAGATGTTTCTAAATCAAAAAAAAAAAAATAGTTTTAATTCAAATAAATGATATAGATTGAGAAAGTTCTAATGAATGCCAGTCTACAAAAATTATTCTTCCCACCCTAAAATTATCCCCATTTTCAATATGTGGACAAGTCTATTTAACTAGTGTCACTGTGCTCAAACTGAGAAATATTGTGTATGTATATATATATATGTATATATATATATATATAAAACAGAGGATGTGTGATACCTTTTCACTCGATCCATCCAACCTATTTTGACCAAACTTGGTACATACATTGTACAATGTAAGAGATAGGTTCTTACTGTAAAAAAAAAATCGATAATTTTTAAAAAAATGAATAATCAATAAAGCCAATCCCAAATCAATAAATTCAATATTTTTCTTCTGATTTTATTCAAACCTGGTATGTAGGTTACTTACATCATGACAAACTCAGTGATACCTCATTTTTATTTCTACACCACTGCATTTATGGAAAAACTGCGAAAAATGAAAAATTGATTTCAACACAAATTGTAAACTAAAAACTCCCTCAATTTTCAAACAATCTGATACAAACTTCATTCAGTTGTAGCCAACAATAAGTTGACTGTTTAACAGTCATTTAACTTGATAATTAAGTCCACCCATATAATGAAAAGCCATGTAAACAGTGAAAAATGGTGGGTTTTTTACTGGTTTCTTTCTTATTTTTCATTGATCTTTCAACCAATTTTCATGAAACTTAACAATTGCTTTATAAATGTATCCTCTTTTACATCCCTGGTAGCACAATGACAAAATGAATTTCAAAAACTCCAAAATAATTGTGGTCTGAAGTGGGTCTTCATGTTGCCTGTTTTACCCCTTCATGCCTTTGGCTAACTTCAATCGAATAAATACAGACTACTTCTGTTATATCAGTAACTGCATTAATTCAAAATGTTTTTTAATGAAAGTATTTTAAAGTAATTGAAGAAGATAGACTCTATTACATCTAAATATGATGTTGTTTTTGCTCCATTCTAATTGAACACTTGTTTTGATTGACCAGCTGGCTATGACTGCTAGTAATGAATAAAATGTCATATGCAAAGCAGTCAGTGAAAACAAAATACTAAATTACAAATGAGAAAAAAAGACTTGTTTTAAATATTTGGTGTTTTGCTGTAAAATTAGGCTACTCTGTGCAGTTTGATCTTGACCTCAGTACACAAGCACAGCTGCCACCAAACATATTTATACATTTTTACATGTCAAAGAAAACATTGGTTTTATAAATGAATTAATAAATTTCATTTGTAATCTGCAGCAGTTCAAAATAAAAGAGTAATGAGACATTTACAAAGAATCAGTTTCCACCCTCAAATGGAGAAATGATATTTAATAAATAAAAATACCAAAAATTGTCAAATGCCCTGAAAAATAATCAATTACTTATCTACTGGTAAGAGAAATAAGCAAACTGTTGTTTTTAATATTGCAGGTCTCTGAGGTAGGCATATAATAGGAAGTGATAAAATTTTAGGGTCATGGGGAGGGGTGCAAATGTAGCCTGTACATTGTAGTTTTGAATCTCCTGTGTTAACTGACCATCACGATGGAGTAATGGATAATGGCTTGAATTGAGGAATCGGAGAGCCGAGTTCAAATTCCACTCAAATCCATTACATTCAGTTATGTGCTAATACCCTTGAGAAAGGTATGAATCACCTTCTTCTCCCCCAGCTATGGGTGAATAGGAGGACAGACCAGGTTTTATAGCCTTGGAT